ATTGAGGCTGGATGGGGGGCCTCCGACCTCAGAAAGGGGGACCGTGTGCTATTCAGGGCAGAGGGGACACCCGCCCTCCCTGCACTCTAACCCTGGGAACCACCAACAGGGCCTCGTGTGTCCCCCACAGCCTCACGGGCAGCCCCAGCCCCCACCCCCAGCCTGCTGACCTCAGGACAGTCCCAGGCCCTCGCTCCCAGCCTTGCAGTCTCCCCACCTCCTACCCCCCCAACCCCCCCACCAGCCAAGGGCTGAGCTCACAGCCCAGAGCCCTCTCCTACCCGGGGGTTCCTGCTGCCGGGGCTACACAGGGAGCAGCCTGTGTATATGTGTGTGAGCCTGTGTGTGTGTGCGAGAGTGTGTGTGAGAGTGTGTGTGTATGTGAGTGTGTGTGAGTGTATGTGTGTGTGAGAGTGTGTGTGTATGTGTGTGTGTGTGAGCTGTGTGTGTATGTGTGTGAGCCTGTGTGTGTGTGTGCGCGCGCATGAGAGTGTGTGTGTGAGTGTATGTGTGTGTGAGAGTGTGTGTGTATGTGTGTGTGTGTGAGCTGTGTGTGTATGTGTGTGAGCCTGTGTGTGTGTGTGCGCGCGCATGAGAGTGTGTGTGTGAGTGTATGTGTGTGTGAGAGTGTGTGTGTATGTGTGTGTGTGTGAGCTGTGTGTGTATGTGTGTGAGCCTGTGTGTGTGTGTGCGCGCGCATGAGAGTGTGTGTGTGAGTGTATGTGTGTGTGAGAGTGTGTGTGTATGTGTGTGTGTGTGAGCTGTGTGTGTATGTGTGTGAGCCTGTGTGTGTGTGTGCGCGCGCATGAGAGTGTGTGTGTGAGTGTATGTGTGTGTGAGAGTGTGTGTGTATGTGTGTGTGTATGTGTGTATGAGAGTGTGTGTGTGAGTGTATGTGTGAGTGTGTGAGAGTGTGTGTATGTGTGTGTGAGCCTGTGTGTGTGTGTGAGCCTGTGTGTGAGCCTGTGTGTGAGTGTGTGTGTGTGTGAGTGTGTGTGTGTGTATGAGTGTGTGTGTGTATGAGTGTGTGAGCCTGTGTGTGTGTGTGAGTGTGTGTGAGTGTGTGTGAGTGTGTGTATGAGTGTGTGAGAGTGAGTGTGTGTGAGTGTGTGTGAGTGTGTGTGTGTGTGTGTGTGTGTGTGTGTGTGTGTGTGTGTTTTATAATGTGCTGTGTGGTGCCAGAGGTTGTGTGTGTGTGAGCCTGTGTGTGTGTGTGTATGCGTGTGTGTGTGTGGAGAGGTCAAGGCCTCCTGGGGAAGGGGCCAGGCCTGCGCAGCTCCCTGGTGGGGGGACTCCGAGGAGCTGGGAGAGGCCTCAGAGCGGAGCTGGGGTTGGGGTAGGATGGGTGGGAGGGCGGTGTCCCCAGGTTCCTCTCTTTCATGGCTGTGCAGCCCTTCCTTAGACCCAGGGGTGCTCCCAGGCCGGGGGTGGTAGGGAGGGGGGTGGTGGCGCGCGTGCTTCCCTCTCTGGAAGGTGTGGGAGGGTCTGCACCCTCCTTCCAGGGCCTTAGAGGGCCTGACCTCTGTTTGATTCCTGGGGGGAGGGCTCGGGAGGGCCCCCCTGAAGTCAGTGGTGGGACGGGGATAGGGGCCCATGGTGGGGTGCACGCCCAGATGACCCACACCGGCAGGGGTTGCTGCTCAGCGCGAAGACAAACTCTTCCTGGGAAATACGCTGAGTGAAAACAGCCAAACGGAGGAAGACAAACAGCACAGGAGCTCCCTCACGCGTGGGATCCAATGAACAAAATGAACCGCCCGCAAACAAGACCGGAAGCCGGAGGCATGGAGCAGCCCGCCACACCCCATGTGGGGCTGGGGGACGAGAAGAGAGAAACCCCAGAACTTATGTGGTTACTGCACAGCCCGTGGACAGGGGCAATAGGGGGGTGAAGACCCGGGGAGCAGGGGCTGGGAGGAGATGGGGGAAAATGGGAGATATCTGTAATACTTTCAGCAATAAAAAATACATTGAAAAATAAAAGAACATTTCCTATCATTAAAAAAAAGAAAAACTCTTCTGTCTGTCACCTATCTATCATTTATCATTATCACCTATCATTTATTATCAACATCTGTCATTTATTATTATCATCTATATTTACCTATCATCTATCATCTATCACCTATCATTTATCATTATCATCTATCCTTTATTATCTATCATCTATCATTTATTATCATCTATATTTATCTATCATCTATCACCTATAATCTATCATTATCATCTATCTATCTATCATCCTATCCTCTTTGTGAAATTCAAGGTCATATTTGGAAGGACACACACCAGATACAACCAGCACGGAACTGCAGGCTGTGCTGGAAACTTCTTTATATTTTTACTTCTGTTTTATTTTTAAAGAGTATTAGTATTTCTCTGTATACCCAGGGAGAAAAATTAAGCTGTCTCCATTTCTGAGAACAAAACAGAGAAGCAATGCGCTGCACAAATGCAGGGCC